CCTCTCCATAATCACCGTACCACGTATCCTTCTCCCACTGCTAGTCCAATTCCGTTGAGAAAAAGTAGACAAACATATATCTTAACCTTCAGGGCTGATTTGCAGGCCAAAGGGCAAACATGCACACTTGGGAAGTCAATCCCTACTTGGTCTTATTCAATGCTCCCCTCCCCAATAACCATGACAATAAGCCATGTCAAAATTACCTCGCAATGGAATTTACATTGCGTGCAGATGACCAAACATCGAGCAAGGTAGCAAATTGACGTCTTCTCGGCCCGGTCATCATACACTTGGTAATCTTAGAACTTTGATCATACTCGTGATGATTCTCATTCTGATCATGTGGGGAACGACACAGGAAGAGGAGGAAAAGGAGAAAGAGGAGGAAGCGGAGGAAGGATGCAGAGGAGGCAAGCATAGGAGGAAGACGAGGAAGAAGAGAGGAAGAGGAGGAAGAGGAGGAAGAGGAGGAAGAGGAGGAAGAGGAGGAAGAAGAGAGGAAGAGGAGGGAGGGGAGGAAGAGGAGGTGATGTCGCAGTGGATGAGGACAATGTGACCAATGAGAAGGGCGGTGGCCCAAGGCTGGAACTCCAAGACAAAAACGTCAGAAGCTGTGGGATGACGACAGGCAGCTGCACGCTGTCAGTGGCCAGCAAGACAATCCAGCCACATCTCCAGAGAAATAACAGAATTCCTCTCCCTTCACCTCGTACCTCCTCCTCTCCTCTTCCTCCACCTATAGTCTCCACCCCTCATCCCATTCCTCCCCATGCCAATCCTAATTCTTGACCCTCATATTCCCCATTATGCCCTCCCCCCGTCCTTTCCACAGTGCTTCCTCTCCTCCATCATGACTGCAAACCACTTTCACACTAAGGGTCTATCTTCTTTCCCCTCTAAACACATGCAAGGGGAAACAAAAAGAAAAGGTCACACAAAGCCTCCTTTGTTCCAGCTACTCCCACTCACACCCCCCTCATCCTCCTCTTCATTCCCCCCTTCTACGGCCCAATACGATTACAATACACCTGTTGTTGCCTCTACTTCCATCTCCGCCTGCCGTCTGTACCCTCTGCGGATCTCCTTACTGGTTCTTTTCTCGGTCCCCTTGCAAATGCTTTTATTTGCGCATGAAAAGAACTTTTTATCGAATAAAAATGAAGTTCAAAACCCATTCCAAACTCCAAACTGAAAAGGTGGTTAACTGGAGAAGAGTGGGTAAAGAAATGCCCTAGAATTCTAGGAACGAGGAGAACCACCTTTTCAACCGAACAAAACGAACGTATGTACTATTCAACTTTCCCTGAAAAAGTCGATTTCTCGAAGTCGCCCCCTGAAATCCAAATAGTACGCACGTTGAAATAGAACACACGTATGTTCTATTCGAACAGACGGGTGTTCTATTCAAATAGAACACATGCTTGCCTGCCTGCCTGCAGTGTGGTGCTCGTTTCCAGGTGTGTGCCCTGCAGTATTCCTCCCTC